TATGTATAGATAGATTTCTGTTTATTTTTTATTTTATTTATTTATTTATTTATCTATTTATTTATTTTGCAATCTTCTGTTCTGGTTTCTGAATCTAGTTGTAGAGTATTAATAAGCATTCTTTTTTTTCTTCTTATTTTCAATGAGAAATGACTCTATTTACCTCCCTCAATCTAGATAAAACAAAATGTGGTACGAATTCATTTATATATCTTCCAAATTGTTCCTTTTTCTAAAGACAGGAAAATTGAATCGTTATTTCTTAAAATTGCATTCTTTATAAAAATCTGCAAATTCCTAAATAAGCGTTAATTGGAATATCTCTCCATGTTAAATCAGTTACCCGATGTTTTGAAAGATAAAAACTGATTTAATGTTAATTTGGTAATTGTGTAATAAATGAAAATCATCTTCTTGAACCTCGCTTTAATACTGATATTTTAATTCATTTGCAAACATTTCCAATTGTATCTGCACACATTTCAACATTAATTCGCCTTCATAATTGATTTTATCATTTTTTTTTACTGATTAAACAGAAAGGTTCAAATTCTGTATCGAATGGCGATTACAATTCTTCATTTTCATTTTAACATTAAAACGTTTTTCGCACAAATTCTTACAAATATTTTTTAACTAAAGTATTACTACGTATTCTCTTCACCTTTTAAAAACTAAATTGTAACTTCTGTCGCTCCAGAACTGAATATTATTTTGAGATGTGTAAAATCAATTTTAATTTATTCCTTGAATATAAGATAACCTTAGTAAATAAAAATAATGTTTTATTTATATTAAAAATAATTTTTGATATAAACTCTTTTAAATCCTGATGCTCTTAATTCTTCTTTAATATTAAAAAAATATTAAGTTCATTCTATAGACCAGAGAAAAAAGATAAAAATAAATAAAAGTGACAATAAAATAAGGGGTGATTAAATTACAGACATTTTCTTACATTATGTATATCTTAATAAATATTTTGAAAATTATTTTTATTAAAAGCATAAAAAGAAAATATGGCCGACATTGAACTATACCGATAATGAAATTTCCAGAATATTCCAAGAATAATTTGCGCTGACTGACGACGATTCTTTTTTAACCCCGTAAATACCATCTTGTCAAAAATGTGGCCCAACCTCGCCCTGTTTCGGCATGGTTATTAGCGGAAGACAAACAAGACAAACTTATGTCTACATTAGAAATAGAACCTCGAAAATGAGAAACGTCAGACATTTTTTAACTAAAAGCTGCGGAGGGGACAAACTTACCCAAAATACGAGTCAAACTTTATATATATATATATATATATATATATATATATATATATATATATATATATATATATATATATATATATATATATGAGATAACGATATATATTTTTATATATCAAGAAAAATATTGGGAATTTGTATAAAAAAGTTTACATGTGACGCGTTTCATCATTCAGGTCGTTATAGAACTAATTTTTTTCCGATAAAGTACTGAAGAGAGAAACGGTTCATAAGTAAACTTTTTCCAATTTGTCACACAAACATCCCCAATATATATGTATATACAAATTTCATTAAAAACAACTTACAATATAAAGCGTTTAAATTTTTTTATTATTCAATTTTTCTTGAATTCTTATAATGTTCTTCATTATCCAGAAAAGAAGAACATTATGAGAACACAAGAAAAAACATAACTGCAGTACCTTGTGAGTCGTTCTTAATGAAACTTTTATACAAAAAGTATTGCTGCCTAAACACATTACTATATATATATATATCAATATATATGTATATAGATAGATAGATAGATAGATAGATATAATTTTATAATATCTATCTTATAATCTCTCTCCATATATATAAATATATATCTCTTTATCTATCAGTATCTCTTCAATATCTATCTATCTATGTATCTATCTATCTGTGTTTGTGTGTGTGTGTGTGTATATATATATATATATATATATATATATATATATATATATATATATGTATATATGTATACACACACACATACATATATATATTTATATATATATATATATGCATAAAATTATAAAATCTGAATATGTTAATATCTTTATAATTTTGTGTTTATATAGATGTTTTACGTTTCTTATATATTATATACATTATACTATATACATTATATGCTATGTGGTTTAAAAACCCCTAAATTTTACGCTTTTAATTTTGCTTCCTTTTTCTCTTTCCTGTTAACTTATTTATATTTTCACGGTAACTTTTTATCTGCTTTAATTCGACATATATATATATATATATATATATATATATATATATTATTTGCCAGTTTTGGACATATGTATGTTTTCTGTCCGATATTGAGTATTCACAATACATATCGTAAACCTTAGGAAATTTATACCATTCGTACGAAATTTAACTAATCCGTTATAAATATGTTATATAACTCTATATTAGAAACGCGAAATGAAGAAAACCTTTTAGAATTCATTAAAATATTTGGATATATTTCCTTATCTTATTATTATTATTATTATCATTTCCAGTATTTCCATATGTGATTTTCCTCCAATCCTTTACCAAATCTTTTAACTGAAATTTGTGATAAAGGAAGGATTTTCTTTGAAAGTTATTAAGCATATAACTTTGAGAGAGTATTTTTCTTCTAATTATTTGAATGCTATTCATGAACACAGTGTTGTTATCTCTCAGAGAGTGATGAGTTTCTAAGGATTTTCTTTATCAGTATAATCTTTTAATCATTCCTAGTGCTCCTATTATTACTGGAATAGTAATTAGGTTCAAATGCCACATTCTTGCAATTTCTATTTGCAGATACTTAAATTTTGAAACGTTTTTTATAAGAGGGAATGCTCATGTCTTTTAGATAGTGATTATGTCTTTTAGATTCTTTTAGTATTTTATCTGACCTATTGGCTTTTATAGTGTGCTTCGTATGCATGCCGAAGTCCCAAAGGACTTCAACATTTTCACTTTGTCGCATTGGTGGTGGTTTGTGTACATACATTTTTCTACTTAGGTAAGTTTATATTGTTAAAATGTAAAATATATATTTAACTAATCTATTGTGTTTATATTTCAGTCTATTCTGTGTATCCAGATATTTGATGGTTATTATTATTATTATTATTATTAATAATAATAATGATAATAATACTAATAATGTCAACCGTAATCTTCTGTCTTCTTAATTTCTGTTCTTTTATTGTTCTTACTCCTTAATAATGTTTTATTTTTCACTCAGTAACTCTGCATCTCAGTGGCTTTGTTGCCTTGCTGGGGTAAAACATTTTTAAAATAATAATAATAATATAAATTTTTTATTGGAAATCATAATCTCATAAAATCTTCAGTTAGTAAGTTTGTTCAGTTTTTCACAGCATTAAAGGCTACTTATAGTATTTAATACTTAGAAATGTGCATTAAATTTAAATTCGAAATTGTCTTTCTAATGCTTAAGTTAAATAAGTAAACATGAAACCGTTGTTTCAGTTTCGAATTGGTCGTAAACTAACCCCCGAAAAATAAATAAAAGCAACCAATATAAAATAATTATGTACGCGTTAATATCTCTCTGTCTTTCTCTTTTCTCTTTTTTTTTTTTTTTCTCTCCAAACTAATTCCGCACCTAAAGGAATTGAAGAGATATTTCGCAAACATTTTTCTGGTTTTCCGAGAGTTTTAAAGTCAGCAGTATTCAAAAAATTAATCAAAACTATTTTAATCTGATCTCGCATTTATCATTTCATCCGTTGGTTTAAATTTGACGAAAAAATATCAGTTTCCGTGAGAAGAAAGCCACTTTGCTTAAATGTGAAGACGTAGTCCTGCGGTCAATAAGTAACGACACAAAATTCTGGAGAAAAACCAAGTCTTCGAGCCGCGTGAGAATTCCTTACACGTTGCATTTCGTAAAGGATCAGATGTTCATTCGAAGCAACCAATGTGTACGTTTCGTTGAATTCAGGCTCTATCTACCTAAACATACACACGCACGAACACATATTCATATATATCCAGAAAATTAATGCCGTTCAATTGACTACTCTCACGGATTATTTATAATGATATAATATGAGATTATTATATATTATCTAACGTAATAATAGATTATTATATATTATCTAACGTAAAAATAGAGTATTGACTATTGAGCTATAAACTTTTTCATATTTCTCCATTGTGAACTTTAGTGCCAAATATTCTTCTCATATCTAAATACGTTAAAATCTTGTAATTTAATAGGTCTTAATGATCTCTGGCACACACACACACACACACACACACACACACACACACACACACACACACACACACACACACACACATATATATATATATATTTTTTTTTTTTCGCAAGGTGCACGTACCAGTAAAATAATAGCAGGTATGTTTTATTTTTCACACAAATTAATGAAAAAATTAAACCAGGTTCACACAGGTTTTATCGTTCGACTTTCTCAAATTACGTGTTCTAATATGTAATACAGCTAAGGATACAATGATAAGATCACACGCAAAATACGTGCGCGCACACACACACACACACACACACACACGCACACACACACACAAATATATATATATATATATATATATATATATATATATATATATATATATATATATATATGTATGTATATATAGCTAAAACCATGATCTTTAAATAGTTCTTATTCAAAACTTGATTTCATCTTATTAATTATTTGTCGTAATGGTTATCGATATTAAATTCACTCACAAGCATAATATGATTAAAAGAAATTGTTTCAAATTTTAAATTCTTCTTCTTTGGTTTTGTATTCATTTGAGCATTATCCTATAATATATGTCATATATAATATATATTATGTCGTTGACATTCAGATCATGGCCCTCGACAATTTCCTGTTCTTTGTAACTCTTGATAAAGTTTGTATTATTGCTATCTCTCCTAAATCCTGTTCTACCAACCATTTATACAAGTTCCTTAGGATGATTATATTCCTC